AACTTAGCTCAGCTTATTGTTAAAAAAAAACAATGGTAACCCTCCCTTCACAACCCACCGGATGTCTGTAAGCACTCATCCCTACCCCCACCCCCACCCCACCTCCTTCCCCCGCAAGGTAGTCATAGACGTTTGATGCAATTAGGATGACCTCTATATGTACGTACTGTTCTTATTTTTATCTTTGTTCAGGGTTCTCTCGACTTGTAACAATGTCTGTCTCTGTAGGTACAAATAAATGCAAATAAATTAATAAAAAAATGTATATAACTGGCCACTATGGCACCATATTTTTGAAGCTGCTTGTCAATCTTCCCAGTACCATGAATAACCCCCCCCCCCCTTCAGTATTGTCTGTGCTTGCCTGATTCTTGGGGAAAAGAATCTTTTTGCCTAACAGTTTTGGTGCAGCGAGCAGGATGTGATCGGGAATCCTCGGAGAGTTTCTCACAACCAGGGATAGAGGCGAGTACCTTTTTACTTACCGCCTCTAGCGCACACCTTGGTTTGGGACTCCCCGAGGCATTCCTCCACACCCCTTTTTTTTAATACGAACCACATATAGGATGCAGAGGCAAGAGGACTGAACAGGACTGTGTTTGTGGCCTAGGTTGTTGGGGTGCAGGGACCACTGGAGGCGAAGGCTGCACTGCCAAGTACTGAGCACCAGGGTATGTGCTGCAGTAAACTGAGTACAAGGGTGTGCTCAGTCAATCTCCCCTGAAGCACTGCTTAAGTGGGTTTCAGGAAGCTGAGATACAATGTCTTATGAATTGCCCGAGAATGCGTCAACGATACCCTCCATGGGGGGGACACCCATTGGCATGCCCCGGGGTACACCAATGATGCCCTCTACGGAAGGAAGACTCATTGATTTTATAAAAGGGAAACATAAAAAGGTTAAAAAAACAATAGCAAAAAATAAATGGAATAAAGGTATGAGTACAATGGATAGCGTGTTGTGGTGGTCTGGTCAAACAAAAGAAAGATTAGGGAAAGGAATTGTAATAAGCTATTGCAAATATAAAAAAAAATTACAAAAGTTAAAAACACTCCAAAAAGCTCTTACATCAAAGCTAAATCAAAAAACAAATTTAAACCGCAAACTAAATGAACTTGAAGTAGAAAACAAGGCTCTAAAAGCAAAACTAAAAAAAACAACTCCTCTGCACGTCGTATTGTTGCTAGCATACAACAGAAGGGGAATTTTACTGACCCTGACTCAAGCCGAAATACTAATAAAAACCAAAATAAAATTAATTGGAAACACCTTAAAAAACAAATTCAAAATTGGAACCTGGCACACATGGGGGGAAATCAAGATAATTGGCCTCCCCCCCCACACTTTTTTTAACCCAGAATTAAGTGCCAGTGCTTCCTTGGCCCCTTGCCAAGTGACCACTCAGTGATCAGGGACTGGTGAAAACAAAGTGGCTCATAATACTTATAAGTACACTCCTCTCAGCACAGAGGAAATGAGGGGCTTACTGAAAGATTTCTCTGATCTAAAGCCCAAAGACCCAAATTTAATATTCTGGAAAAGAATAAGCCAGATGGTTACCACCTATACGTTACATTGCAGGGATCTTTATATCTTAACAAAAGCTAAATGCCCCAATCTATCATGGGCCAAGATCCCTACAAAAGGACACAAAAACAGCGTTTGGGCCTCTGTTAAATTTAAATCTGAAAATGATATGACCCATGCCTGCACTGAGTTTAAGAAAGCCATCCAAGAAGCCTTGGGGAACGGAGCCGGTAATTGGGGACTGATCGTGGGCTGCATACAAGGCAAGGACGAGCCTGCAGCTCAATGTTGTAAGAAAAAATGGGAGATGTATTCCAGCAATGCAGGCATTGCAGACCCAAAAAAATGAATCAGGCATTTTTAAAAATGTTAAAGGAAGGTTTTAACTCCCACCTGCAAACAGCCCTTAATTTGGGAGTGAACCCAGGCTCTAATTATGAATCCATCTGTATGTGGCCCTCTGAATGCGAAGCCAGACAGGCCAAAAAAATAAAGAGCAAGTCTACTCGCGTTGCCGTAGTAACAGCAAAAAATAATGTGATCTGTTATAACTGTGAATGTCTCGGGCATACCCAAAAAAACTGCAGGCGCAAGGCCCAAAAGCCTAGTCAGGGACAGAATCACGGCCAGTTGAATCCCTGCAGTACCTCACTGCCCTTTCAATCTGGCTCTGGTCCCGTCCCGTCCCCCACCTCACAGTGTTTGTATGTGGGGAAATTGGAATATTTTTTAAGAATTAGGCAAGCACAGACAATACTGAAGGGGGGTACTGGTCTTTTAGCAATTACTAGTGCTCTGCTTAGACAAACATTTTCAGATTTATTCAGCTTCCAACTAACATCCATTAGGTTTAAAATTACATTTTTAGCTTGTAACACAATTTTATCTGACAGGAAAAAAGTAACTCTGCAATTAAGTTCTTCCAAAAACATACGAGTGTAGAAGCATTCCCAGAACATATAGGTGGGCTGGTTCTTATGGGGGACTTCAATCACCCTGACATCTGCTGGAAGAGCAATACATCAGTTCACAGACAATCCGGGAAGATTTTGGAGAGTGTTGGGGACAACTTCCTGGTGCAACTACTGGAGGAACCAACCAGGGGCCGTTCTCATCTTGACCTGCTGCTTACAAACAGGGAAGAATTGGTAGGGGAAGTAGAAGTGGGTGGCAACCTGGGCAGCAGTGGCCATGAGATGGTTGAGTTCAGGATCCTCACAAAAGGAAGAAAGGAGACTAGCAAAATATGGACCCTGGACATCAGAAAAACAGACTTTGACTCCCTTAGGGAACTGATGGGCAGGATCCCCTGGGAGGCTAATATGAGGGGGCAAGGAGTCCAGGAAAGCTGGCTGTATTTTAAAGAAGCCTTATTGGGGGCGCAGGCACAAACCATCCCGATCTGCAGAAAGAATGGCAAATATGGCAGGCGACCAGCTTGGCTTAACAGTGAAATCTTCAGTGAGCTTAAACACAAAAATGAAGCTCACAAGAAGTGGAAACTTGGACAGATGACTAGGGAGGAGTATAAAAATATTGCTCAAGCATGCAGGGGTGTAATCAGGAAGGCCAAAACACAACTGGAGTTGCAGCTAGCGAGGGAAGTGAGGGGTAACAAGAAGGGTTTCTACAGGTATGTTAGCAACAAGAAAAAGGTCAGGGAAAGTGTGGGACCCTTAATGAATGGAGGAGGCAACCTAGTGACAGATGATGTGGAAAAAGCTGAAGTACTCAATGCTTTTTTTGCCTCGGTCTTCACAGACAAGGTCAGTTCCCACACTTCTGTCTTGGGCAACACAGTATGGGGAGGAGGTGAGCAGCCCTCAGTGGTGAAAGAACAGATTAAGGACTAGTTAGAAAAGCTGGACATGCACAAGTCCATGGGTCCAGATCTAATGCATCCAAGAGTGCTGAGGAAATTGGCTGATGTGATTGCAGAGCCTTTGGCCATTATCTTTGAAAACTCATGGTGATCGGGGGAGGTCCTGGACGACTGGAAAAAGGAAAATATAGTGCCCATCTTTAAAAAAAGGAAGAAGGAGAACCCAGGGAACTACAGATCGGTCAGCCTCACCTCAGTCCCTGGAAAAATCATGGAGCGGGTCCTCAAGGAAACCATTTTGAAGCACTTGGAGGAGAGGAAGGTGATCAGGAACAGTCAACATGGATTCACCAAGGACAAGTCATGCCTGACCAATCTGATTACCTTCTATGATGAGATGACTGACTCTGTGGATATGGAGAAAGCAGTGGACATGATATACCTTGACTTTAGCAAAGCTTTTGATACGGCCTCCCACAGTATTCTTGCCAGCAAGTTAAAAAAGTATGGATTGGATGAATGAACTATAAGGTGGATAGAAAGCTGGTTAGATCGTCAGGCTCAACGGGTAGTGATCAATGGCTCGATGTCTAGTTGGAAGCCGGTATCAAGCGGAGTGCCCCAGGGGTCGGTCCTGGGGCCGGTTTTGTTCAACATCTTTATTAATGATCTGGATGATGGGATTAATTGCACCCTCAGCAAGTTCGCAGATGACACTAAGCTTGGGGGAGAGGTAGATAAGCTGGAGGGTAGGGATAGGGTCCAGAGTGACCTAAACAAATTGGAGGATTGGGCCAAAAAAAAGCTGATGAGGTTCAACAAGGACAAGTGCAGAGTCCTGCACTTAGGATGGAAGAATCCCAAGCACCACTACAGGCTGGGGACCGACTAGCTAAGCAGCAGTTCTGCAAAAAAGGACCTGGGGATTACAGTGGATGAGAAGCTGGATATGAGTCAGCAGTGTGCCCTTGTTGCCAAGAAGGCTAATGGAATATTGGGCTGCATCAGTGGGAGCATTGCCAGCAGATCGAGGGAAGTGATTATTCCCCTCTATTCGGCACTGGTGAGGCCACATCTGGAGTATTGTGTCCAGTTTTGGGCCCCCCATTACAGAAAGGATGTGGACAAATTGGAGAAGGTCAAGTGGAAGGCAACGAAAATGATCAGCGGGCTGGTGCACATGACTTACGAGAAGAGGCTGAGGGAACTGGGCTTGTTTAGACTGCAGAAGAGAAGAGTGAGGGGGGATTTGATAGCAGTCTTCAACTGCCTGAAGTGGGGGTTCCAAAGAGGATGGAGCTCGGCTATTCTCAGTGGTGGCAGATGACAGAACAAGGAGCAATGGTCTCAAGTTGCAGTGGGGAAGGTCTAGGTTGGATATTAGGAAACACTATTTCACTAGGAGGGTGGTGAAGCACTGGAATGGGTTACCTAGGAAGGTGGTGGAATCTCCATTCTTAGAAGTTTTTAAGGCCCGGATTGACAAAGCCCTGGCTGGGATGATTTAGTTGGTGTTGGTCCTGCTTTGAGCAGGGGGTTGGACTATATGACCTCTTGAGGTCTCTTCTAACCCTAATCTTTTATGATTCTATGATAACCAAACCTGTTTTCTGTCTACATACAACCTGACCCTCTGCACATCTCTCTCAGGTGAAAAGCAGCCAGGGAATGAACAGGACTGGCGCCCTCTTCTCAGCCGTTGGGATCATTCTCTTTCTAACGGAGCTGATTTTTAATGCGTCACATTATGACCACAAGGATGAGGAATACCGTTGGTTGGTAAGTGGCCAGATTCTGCCATAGAATTATAGAAGTATAAGGCGGGAAGGGACCTCAAGAGGTCATCCAGTCCATCACCCTGTGCTGAGGCTGTGTTAAGTCTACCTGGACCATCCCTAACAGGTGTGTTTTTAAAATACCAGGTTCCTGGAATTGCCCTAAGTCCTTGACTCCACTGTAGAAACTGTCCATCTGTTCTGCTCCAGACCTTTGATCTGGAGGAAAATTGACCAAAATTTGCTCTTAACGTGCTTGGTTCTGCTCTTGATAAAGCCAGTGTCAAAACTCCTGTCAATGTCAAAAACCAGGCAAGGACTATGCTTTTGTTCTGTGTTTTCTGCAGCACCTAGCACAGTAGGGTCCTAGTCCATGACTGGGGTTTCCAGCCACTATCAACATACAAATTATTAATAATAATAACTCCTGTTGACTTCATCGGGAGCAGCATTGGACGCAAATACCTGTTTTACTTTGTTTAATCCCCACTACACAGAGATGGTGAAACTGAGGCACAGGGAGATGAAGCGACATGCCCAATGTCACCCAGCAGGCCCAGCTTTTCTCAATCCTAGTCCAGTGCTCTATGCACTAGACAACACTGCCTCCATGCTACAGAATCCTGGCTGGCCTACCCAGGGAGCGTCTCAGGGGCACATATCCCTGTAGACCCAGGAGAAAACAGAATTCTATGATCTCCTGACAGTGGTGTGGCTCCATGCATCACAATTACCGGGCCTACTGAGTAGTTAGGAGGAGGAGGAGAATTCTGTGTGCCTGGGAGGAGGGAAGAACCAGGACCGGATTTCTGCATCCCCAGAAGTGGGAAAAGAGGGATTTTTTATGCACCTCACAGCAGCCCTGTGCAATGTTACACCTCTAGCAGTCAAAATTAATTAGCATCCCCTGTGGTTTTATGCTCCCCAGAATGCTGGGAAGGGGATCACAGTCATGCTGCTCTTGTTGTCCATCCTGGAGTTCTCCATCGCTGTCTCAACCTCGTACTTTGCATCCCAAGCCATCTGCTATACCCCCAACACCGTGAGTCTTTCAGCTCTCAAACGGGACGTGAATCAGCGCATGTGTTGAAAGGAGGGGGAGATGTACGCCTCTGCGAAGCGCCCTCCCTGATGGGAGAAGTGTCCCTGGGGAAGGGCCTGAATGTGTATGAGGAAGGCAGTGATGGGGGAAAGTGACAGGTCCTGATTTAGGGCTGGTTGACAAGTCTGTCAAATTGGGGTTTTTTTAATGGGAAATTGGGGTTTCAACTCCATGAGAATGTTATCAGAAAGCACCTGCTTTCTCCAGAAAATGTTGCTATTTTTCCAAAACACCGAACACCTGAAAACCAATCTATTTAGATTCAAAGTGGTGCCATGATACCTCATGGCAGTTGTAGTTCAGCTGCCGTGTACTCATATTTTCCCTTATGGGCCATGTTCTCTAGATGGACTACACCTCCCATGATGCACCATGGGCAAGGGTGCTTGTGAGACATCCCCTCATAGGAGATATAGTCCTGCCAGTGACCATGGCCCATAAAGGACAAAAGAAGTATAAGGCACCCAAACTACAACTCCAATGAGGCACTATGGTTCCATGTTGAATCAAAATATTTTGGTGGTTGATAGATTTTTGTTGACATTTTTGGCAGAGGAAATAGCCCTATTTTCTGGCCCTTTTTACCTTGATTCCTAACCGGGCTGCTGACACCATGATCCAAGTTACTGAATCTTTTTTTAATGGGAGGGGGAAGTAATTCCAGTTTTCACTGCCACCACGTTGACCTTCATCGTCAGTGTTTTAATTTCTGTGGGGCTGCATTTCATCTTCCCAGGTGGGGGTGGGGGACCCAGGAAACTGTAACTGGGCCAGATCCTGAGCTGCAATCCCACCATTTTGTGCCCCTGAAAGTCACTGGATCTCTCCAGCAGAGAATTCCCTTGGCATGGAATCCCCACCTGGCACAGCCAGCTCTTGTTCCCTTGGTGGAGGGGATATATTGAGGGCAGAGAATCATAGAATATCAGGGTTAGAAGAGACCTCAGGAGGTCATCTAGTCCAACCCCCTGCTCAAAGCAGGACCAATCTCCAACTAAATCATCCCAGCCAGGGCTTTGTCAAGCCGGGCCTTAAAAACCTCTAAGGATGGAGATTCCACCACCTCCCTAGGAACCTATTCCAGTGCTTCACCACCCTCCTAGTGAAATAGTGTTTCCTAATATCCAACCTAGACCTCCCGCACTGCAACTTGAGACCATTGCTCCTTGTTCTGTCATCTACCACCACTGAGAACAGCCGAGGTCCATCCTCTTTGGAACCCCCATTCAGGGAGTTGAAGGCTGCTATCAAATCCCCCCTCACTCTTCTCTTCTGCAGACTGAACAAGCCCAGTTCCCTCAGCCTCTTCTCATAAGTCAGCAGCCTATGGCATGGCCAGAGTCCCTTGTGATCCAACAATACCTGACAGGTGGCAACTCCTTCGGGGTCATCACCAGCCTCAATGTTTTAGAGCAGCTGCTGGGGCTAGCACAGAACTAGCCATGGAATCATGATGCTGCAAACTCCCCTCCCCAAAAGCTACAGCTGTGGACATCCCTCCAGGGACAATGTTTCTAGCCAGACAGCAAAATAAATGAATCCAGGCAACAAAAACTCCTTGTCTGGAGTCAACTCACTGCTGTGATGCTGGTGTAGAATCTGATCTTCCCAAAGACTGCCTCCCATTCAGCAGTTCTCAAGACCGTTCCTCTGAGCACCTTTGCGTAGTGAAGGGGGGTAGCTGAGATGAGGTTGACCTCTTCTTGACCTGGGAGTAGGTCACACACTGATAGGCTAACGTTTTCTCAAACTGTGATGACAACTGTTACGTTTTTATCAAAAAACCTGTTTTTGTCTAAATTTTCCATAGGCATTTTTTATTTATTTTTTTTCAGCAGCAATTCAAATACAGTACCAAAATATTTTGAAAAAAACAAAAGATTTCAATTTGGAAATGTTGCCTTGGTGCCTAATGTGGTTTGTAGTTTGAATGCCTCATGTTGCCATTCTCCTTTGTACACCAGTCTCCTTGGTCTGACTCCAACTCCCATGATGCAACATCATCTGCCCTCTTGGTGAGGGGACGTTGTTGCATCCTGGGAGACCCTGGCCATGGTGCATCACGGGAAATGTAGTCTAGCCTATGAGCTTGACTCATAGCGAAGAATGGGGACACTAGGCAACCAAACTACATTTCCCATGAGGCACTGCAGCAGCATCTCCAAATTGAAATCTTTTGGTTGGGGGCATTCACTTTTTTTGATTAAAAATTGATTTTTTCCTGGGAAAGTGGATATTTTTTCATGAAACATTTTGTATAGTTAGACAGAAAAGTTTGGGGATTCTGTGGTTTTTTTGTTGAAAAGCAGCTTTTTGACAGGAAATTTTCAAGCAGCCCTAGCGAGGAACACAAAGGGACGCTCTGTAGCATAGTGAGACCTACCGTGTTAACCCTTTAAGTGCCTCACAGCAAACCTGCTGCAGTCAGGACCCAAAGGAAGTATAGATTCTGTATCCTCCAGTTTTGCAAAAGACCATGGTCATGTTCTGTGACAGCTGGGACCCATGCACCTCCACAGGGAAAATCCTACAGATAGTGAATTGGGTGTTGATCGTGGAGTTAGTGATGATGGCACAGATTCATCCCTGGGGTAGTGCCAGTCAATACAGCAAACTTATAAAAACTAGAGGGAGGAGGAAGTGCTGAAAAATCATAGACGCAATCATAGAATATCAGGGTTGGAAGGGACCTCAGGAGATCATCTAGTCCAACCCCCCTGCTCAAAGCAGGACAAATCCCCAGATTGTTTTTTTTTAAACCCCAGTTCCCTAAATCACCCCCTCAAGGATTGAACTCACAACCCTGGGTTTAGCAGACCAATGCTCAAACCACTGAGCTATCATGCCCAAATATGTTGATAGAAGGGTGAGGAAGGTGGTGGTAATGAAGAATGTGAGGAAGATGATGGAGCGAGAATGGAGGGGTGAGGAAGGTAATGGTTGTGGGGGTGAGAATGGAGACAATGATGGTACCAGCGAGGGCCGATCTCTTTTGTTTTGCAGGCTATGTTGTTCAGGCCATATGCTGCCAATGAAAACGTTGGGGTTCCCTCCGCACCAATGCCCCCTCCACCACCTTACACCAATGAGGCTTATGACCCCAAAGAAGAGACTGAGCAATGGGCCTCATAAGGAACTCCTACAAGAGATGGCTCCAGCAGCGGCTCCTCTGAGAAGTAAAACCCAACCCCGTCCTGCATCATAGATCTCATTCCATTTTCTGAGTGCAGTTCTAGTACCCAGCTCCATTGTTCATCTTACAGGGAACTCATTTCAGTCTGCTTCTCCCTGGCTCTGCACCATTTGTAGATCACGCTACACAGAATGAAATAAGGTGATAACTCACCAGCACTATTCAGCCCCCCCAGGCTTTGGTCCTGAACATTTCCCTTGGTGACTTTGTCAATAAAGCTTCAAAATGGATCCTGAGTCAGTTTAAAGCACTTGTTCACAGATGTGTGTCTGCGTGTGCATGTGGCATGCGTGTCTGCATGTGCATGTGTTGTATTTGCATGTAGTATAAAGATGGGGCATGTGCGTATCCACATGTAACTCTTATCACACACACATGGTGGAGCAGGGAGTCCCCTTTCACTAGTAGCATACATCGCAAAAACGACAATTGCAACTAGCACTAATTTGCTTGTATTTGGCCCCGACTCCTTTCACACACTTTCTTCCTTTGGAATGTGACTGATGCACGAAGAGCTTGTCTTCACGTACAGCGCTAGAGCTGCATCGTTGTAGCGTTTTAGTGAAGACGCTCCTAAGCCAACGGGAGAGCGTCTCCTGTCAGCGTAGTTAATCCACCACCCCGAGAAGCAGTAGCTGTGTCGATGGGAGACGCTCTCCCATCGACACAGTGCTGTCTATCTGGGTGGATTAGGTTGATATAACTACATCACTCAGAAGTTGGTGGATTTTTCACACCCCTTAGTGATGTAATTATACCGATATAAGTCTATAGTGTAGACCTGGCCTAAGGCCATTTAAGTTGACTTACGTGATGTCGATGATCATAAGCCATTTTAATTACATTGGTTGTGCACGTCCACACAACGCTCCTTGTGTTGGTGGAGTGCGTCCATAGTCATTGCTCTTGCATCAACAGAGAGAGTGTTGCATCATGGGTAGCTATCCCACTATGCAATTCACCACCCTCTGCCACTGGGACCTCTGGGAACAGATCGCAGTGTATCATGGGGGCATGCTCACCATCCCATGATGTATTTCTTTCCACCCATCATTCCATGGGCTTCTGATTTCATTTTCCACCATTTTTCACCAGCCCTTGTAAACTATGTGCCTGCCATCTCTGCCTGAAAGCAAGGAAGTCTGGTGATGATCGTTATGAACACAATGTGGCTGGTCCTGCAGTATTTCATGAGCTGTAAAACAGAAAGTGAATCAGAACCATTACTGGGGTCTATATAGGGATCAGTACTGGGACCAGTCCTGGGATCAGTGCTTTGGCCTGTATTGGGTCCAGTACTGGGATCTATTCTGGGATCAGTGCTGGGACCAATACTGGGAAAAGTACTGGGAGTAGTACTGGAGTCTGTACTGGGACCAGTCATAGGACCAGTACTGGTGTCTGAACTGGGACCAGTACTGGGTTCTGTACTGAGACAAGTCATGGGACCAGTACTGTGGTGCGTATTGAGACCTTCACTGTTGTCTGTACTGGTCCCAGTAATGGGACAAGCAAGTCATTAACCTGTATTAGACCAAAGTATTACAGTCCTCTGGAGACTAAGGGTATGTCTACACTACGAAATTAGGTCGAATTAATAGAAGCTGGTTTTATAGAAATCGGTTGTATACAGCCGATTGTGTGTGTCCCCAC